TGCCACGCACCCCTCTCGTGCAGCCTTGGCGCCTCATGTGTTGCTTTTTTCTTTCAGTTGATTTTTAGAGAGAGAGGAAGGGAGGGGGGAGAGAGAAACATCAATGGGTTGCCTCCTATACACACCTCTCCTGGGGATCGAGCCCACAACCTTTTGGTGTTCAGGACAACACTCCAATCAGCCGCGCCCCCGGCCAGGGCTGCATATTCGTTATTAATATACGGCGGGAATGTTAAAAATCACTGCGTCGCTACTCACTTGCTCATCCAATCTCCAATGTCCTGAGTGCTTACTGTGTGCAGTGACGGAGGGTGCTGGTGAGACAGGCCCCTTGCAGGGGGACATGGGGATGCCCCCAGGTCTGCTCCACAGAGAGCCGCAGGCCACAGACTCGCCGGCCTCTGGCCAGCGGCCGGGAGGGAAGGACCCACAGAAAGAGCCAGCAGGGTGACCGGGCGGTAGGAGGCGAAGCGCCAGCTTGTGGTCCTGCTGTGTCGTCCTCTCAGATACGTCGCCTAACCTTGGAGACACAGATTTGAGCATTCGGAGGCTGGAGAATAAGTATCAAATAATTTAATAGTCTCCCAATGTGTGGGACTTTCTTCAGCAGTTTCTCAAATACATAGAACTTCAGGCAGATGGTGTGGCCCCCGGGGCAGCTGTCACAGCTTACAAATGAGGAAGCCTCCAATTCCAACTGATTTTAAATTCAAGAACTTGACGTGCAGTATAACTTCTTGTGAAGCATGACAAGGTAGACGAGTTTTTGTGAACAAAAGTAAGATAATTAACTTAAAAATTACAATAGTCAAGAAGTGCTGGTAAATGAGTGACCTTGGGCGTAAAGTGAGAGCTTGTATCCTGGCATTGTGCAAACTCAAACACAGGGTTGGTCAGTTAAGAAAGCAGGACTGAGTTCACACTGTTGGCTACTCCCAATAGCTCCTCGTTCTCTGCGCAGCGCAAATTCCTCCCATTTTTTGGCAATGTGGCGAAAGCGCCGGGTCAGACATTCCAGGAAGAAGGGCAGCGTGAGCCTGCGGGTCATCCAGGTGTGCGGGGTGGGGTGAGCACAGGCGTGGGGCGGGGGCGGAGAAGGTGGAGGTTTCTCCTGGTGCCCAGGTGAGCGGTGGAGAGGGTCCCTGTGAGAGGGGAGGGTCTGCCATGGGGCCCAGTCTGCCCCGGCTGGTGCCCCACCAGGAAGAGCTCTCAACACCGCGGACACTCTCCTGCGCAGGTGGGCTTTGGGACAGAGCCAGCAGCCCTCCCAGGCCCCCAGGAACGAGCCAGTTAGTAGCCAAAACCACTGAGAAACAAGATTTAAAAACGTGATTTGAGGCTCCCTTCCCTGTTTGGGCTGCAGGTCAGGGCTGTGGGCAGAGCTGGGCACTCAGGGTCCCCTCGCCCAGGGCTCCTGTGCGGGAGCAGGGGAGACAGACAAAGAGGGGCTTTTATTTATACCCGACCGGGCTCCCTGGCCAGGGCCCGCTGTGCCTGGGGGGCCCCGTGGCCTTGGCCTGGAGACTGCAGACTGAGCAGCAGCAGCAGCCGCGTGCAGGGGAGCGCCGCCACAGCTGCACTCTCACTCCACCGGGTCCCCAGGTGGAGCCATGACAGGGGCCCCTCGTGCAGCCTGGTGCCTAGGCTGGAGGGGGTGGGGTTGGCCTGGGCAGGGCACAGGCTGTGCCTGGTGTGGAAGGACTGGGCCGGGAGTCCTGGCACTTCTCCAGCAGGCACGCACGCTCCGCACTACCCTGGTCACACCTGTCTGCGGGCTCGTCTCCAGGCCGTCAGCACGGGAGGGGCAACCCAGCATCGCGTCACTGTTTCCTCCCAAAGACACGGCACCACTTCACATCAGGGTTTGCTACCAAATGAATTGGCTGCAAACTTGAAAAATCTTTCTGTTCATAGGCTTTTGGGTTTCGAAACTGGCATCAGAGGGTTACAAGCCTGTATTCTGTCATAAGGACTTGGGGGTGGCGTGGGGGGGCTCCGTCAAGTGCAAAGTGGCTGCTGACAGAACAGCCTGGATGGAGGCAGGAGGGTGAACCCCGCTGACCTCCTCCGACCCCATGCAGCCACTTCTCGAACGTAGGCCAGCCTCACTCCGGTCACGCAGCGTCAGCTGACGGGGACCTGGCCGCCGGTGGTGGCAGCAGCGTGGGGGCCAAGGTCTGTGCTCGGGAGCGAGGTCACCTGCCGTCCCAGCCTCCAGACCAGGTGCTCAGGGGCCCCAGG